TTCTGTATTCTTCAACATAACGCCGTTCATGGTGATCTCTTTCATTTGCAGGTCTGGCTTCTGCACAGTGACTAGGAATCAAAAAGAATTAAGTTTAGATTAATTCTCATGCTCTTACCAAAAAAACCAAAACTGTTCTTCTGCTTCACTCTTGAAATACCTGCAAACCAAAAACCATTAAAAAAAACTACACCCTAAAGAGATGGCCCACTCATGTATGTAGAGGTGGAAACAAGCTATTAAAATGGATGCTTAACTATTAAAAATCCAAAAGTTGTTTAAAAGTGGTTTACCTATCAGGAACTTTAGAGTGACTGTGTTTGCAGTGCTTGCTCTCCCGCACACTGCTATGCGATCTCCTCTTTCTCTTATGACTGCTGCTGCAATTTCCACGATCCCCACTTTCCTTTTCATCCCACTCAGGATAGTTAGTTCGCTTGGAGTGCCGCATCTGTCACAGACAAGCCATTTCCCTCTTTAAAATTACATCTCAAATACAAAAGAACACAATCTAAAAAGCCCACCTGTTTAAATCACTAACCCAGGTTCAGGGGCTAGGATTACAATGGCACAGTAACTGCGTCCTAACAACTGGGTGTTTTGGGGTTTTTTTTTAAGAATCCCTCCAAGTTACTTCTGTGCTTAAAAAACGGATCTGGCATAGGGACAGACTAAAAGATTTGGTGCCCTGTATCATGTTCCCCTTTAGTCAGTTTAACTGGCATCAGGCACCCATTGAACTGTAACCCTGCCTGTAATATTGCTCTTCTTCCCTGATTGCTCCCCCCGCTCCCCAGTCTTTGGAGAATTTTAAGATAAAGTTTTAATGTAAGGGGGGGGGGGGAGAGACACAAAAATGCATCGAGTGTTTGTGGAGCTTCCATAGATAAAAAACACCTTAACTGGGGACTGGGGACGGGGACGGGGATGATGATCCTTACACCCACACGCTCCCGCCCTGTGGATTTGCCTTGCTCAATACCACCACCCCGCGCTGCTTCACACAGACGCCCTGAACACTCCTGTTGCGCACGTCCCCGTTTCCCCGCCGGGCCGCGCGGTCCCTCCGCCACCAGCGGGCTCCCCCTGCGACGCGGCCGCAGGGGCGAGCAAGCCCCGGTGCCCCAATGGGGGTCGGGTCGG